GGTTTCTAATTCCAAATCAATTCTCAAGAAATAGCTTTCTTAGGGAATAGTTTTCTACTTCAGCCTACATGTATCATGAGTATGTATTGTGTGCCAGATGCAGGGGAGGGAGGAAAGCATAATACACAGTCTTGGCTCATGAGTGGTTTCCTTGAGGAATCCCTGAGAAAGATCAGATTATTTCAACTCATGTTAGTCATTTATAGTTTGCTGGCATACACTACAGGTCCCACACCCAAAAATTTTAGGGATTGTCTGTCAGATTTAGTCTATAAGAAGAGAGGTGTTCTTTGCTTTTTTGGCTATTCCACAAGACATTCAGTATCTTAGTTCCCCGACCAAGGATGGAACCCGTGCCCCCTGCGATGGAAGCTCTGAGCCTTAAACCACTGGACCACCAGGGAAGTTCCAGAAGAGAGGTTTTGATGTTACTCCCCACTCATGAAGTTGCAAGTTGATGTATTGGTTAGGACTCTTGAGTTACAAGGAACAAGAACCAACTCCCACTAGGAAAAGCAAGAAGAAAATAATAAAACTAATGGAGAGAAATCTCATGGAACCCAAGGTCAGAAATCCAGCCCCCATTCAGGAAATGCTGGGACAAGAAATTAGGAAGCCTTCAGAATTCTTCATCTCACAAGTTTATCTTTCTTTAGGTACCTGCTTTCTTCTTCTCCCTCTCTGAATACCAGTTTTCTCTGCTTCCCTGGTCTTGGTGAAATATGGCTAGCTCTTAGCTCCTTAGGTCACTAGAAAGTAATTCAGAAAGTACATTTAGAAAGTAATTTGCTGGCTCTCCATCTGATTCCAGATTCCAATCCCAGCTGAAGCAAGTGTCCGCTTCCACTTTAGTCAGCCATTCCCAGAGTAGAGAAAACATCCCGTACAGCATGGATATCAGGATGCTGTAAGGATGGTGGAAGAGGGCTGTGTCCTGAACAGATACCTCAAATTCAGTGTTGGAAGTCTAAGCCAAATATCTAGAGTTAGCTAAACAAAAACTCCAAAAAGAGTGAATGGAGAAAACGAATGGATGTGTGGCCTCACTGGATATTTCCTGTCTCTGTCAGTGCTTCTGTGGTTTCTTCTGCTTTAATCAAGCCACTGTTGACTTCTTGCTTCATGTTGGAGGGCATCATGATGGCTTGGAAGCCCACATGAACATGATCTTCAGTTTTCACCTTTGCATGTTACCGTTTTTCAACATCAAATGTGCCAATTATAAAATTGTGGGTTTTCTCATAAAACCACCCTCTGGAAAGAAGCATAGGATTATTTTCTCTTCTCAAACAGCTATTTTTCTCCTTGTAGACCCCTGTAGGTATAAGCTTCAGCTTCCTTCTTACAAGAAATGTTTATCATAAGAGAGTGAGATGAGTAGATGAGTGTGAAAATGCCTTTTTCTAGACCCTCTGTCTATTCCTGCCATGGGTATTATTTAAACATGATGAAATCTCATGAGGATTTGAAATAAACTACCCCTTCCATCTCCAAGTGCTTCTAGATCACCATCCCGGCTATTTAAAAAGTTGTTGAACCTTCAACTGCTGCTGAGGCTTCTCTGAGCTCCTTTCGACATGGGGGTTTCCCAGCTGCAGTACATAATATCTTCTCAACTCAGGGTTTGAACCCACTTCTCCTTTGTCTTCTGCGTTTGCAGGAGGATTCTTTACTACTGAGCTACCTGGGGAAACCCCAACACACAATACGTGTGTGTGTTCTCAGTCACTTGTCATGCCCGACTCTTTGCAACCCCATGGACTGTAGCCCACCGGGCTCCTCTGTCTGTGGGATTATGCTGGCAAGAATACTGGAGTGAGTTGCCATTTCCTCCTCCAGGGGATCTTCCTGACCCAGGGATCAAACCTGCATCTCCTGCAGCTCCTGCATTGCAGGTAGATTCTTTACTGCTGAGCAATCTAGGAAGCAAACATACAATATATAGAGAATCAATTTTGGTTGCTTGGTTAGGAGCTAAGCTGGTTTCTTGTCCTCCGTGTTATTTGGCTGAACAAGCCTGACCTTGACTATTTGTCTCCTTGAGGGAAGCATTACTGTCATAGGCGGTTTGTATTGACTCACGTAACCCTTACAACAACTCTCTGAGGTAGGGGCTGTCATCATTGTCATCTGACAGATAAAGAAGCTACTAGGTTAAGTGACTTGTCCAAGATAACACAACTGTAGAGAGCAAGTCGGGGATTCAAACGCAGACAGGCAGGCTCATTGAAAGCCCATACTTTTATCACTAGGCTAATCCTCTTTATGTAGTATTTGTGTTTCGTAGGGAACTCAGGAAATTTCATTACTTGTCTCTCACCAAAGTAATAGAACCAAGCAAATGAAATCTTCCCTCTCTAGACATGATAATTTCTTATCAGCCTCCAGAAAAGGAGCTAGCTTGACACTCAGTTACCAGGACTGTTTCTTATATTATAAAGAATTTACTTGTCAATTAAAAAAAAAAACAGTTGTAAATTTATAAGATTTGAACCTCTTCACAGTGCTTCTCAAAGTCTATTCTATGGACCCAGTGCACCAGTATCCTCAGGATATGTATTTCAAACATGAAATCTGGGCTCCACATCTAGGTTTCATGAAACAGAATCCCTACAAGCGGATTGCAGTAATCTGCATTTTTAGGAAGCACCCCAGCGATTCTTGTACACACCAAAGATTGACAAGCATTACAGAGTTGCATCTGGGTGTTTTACGAACTCTGCACATCATCAGTTCAACTGCAGATGATTATAGAAAGCTTTCAAAGCCTCTGTGCATTCGGTAGCTATTTCAGGGAGAATTGTAATGTGCAAGAAGTGTTCCGAAATTGTTACAGTCTCCTTCTGTGTAAACCAGCTGGCTAAGAAAGCTTGAATAATTTCCCAAGGGACTCTAGTGAGTGGACATTTGTACACTCTTTACCTATGAAAATATAGAAAAGACACAGCTTTCTGCCAGGATTCAAATCAAATCTTTCAGAATGGGATTCTGATCATCTTTCTTAAAGCTCTTCCAAAGACCTTAACAGAGACTGTGAGACCTAGCATAACCTGACTATGCAGCCTCCCCAGCTTTATCCTTGAACATGCTCACCCACTGCTCCAGGGACACTGAACTTCTTTTAGTTCTAATACCGCATATGATCCTGGAACATATTATACACCCTCCAGCCCCAGCATCTGGTTAGCTCTCTCTCTCTCCCTTCAGAGCCCAGCTTAAATGGCCCTTTCTTAGAAGTGTCTGCCTTGAAGAAGTCAGAGCATCCTATTATCTACCACTTCTCCTAGCATCGTTCCTCCATGGCACTCGCCATAGTTTTTCAGTCTGCTTTTGACTGTGGTCATATTCATCTGTCTCTCCACATAGATTATAAGCAATATCACTACTGTTTTGTGAATTCTGGTGTCTAGTAGAAGTGTCTGCTACCAGTTTAAGTACCTCATAATGTTGAAAAGTCCTGATTCTCAGTCTAAAATTTAACATTCATTCTGTAAAGATTCTACAGTTCTTTTTTTTTTTTTCATTTCTATCCCTATGACTAAATGACAGTGAACTGAAAATTCTGAACCCCAGACTTCTTTGTGTGTTCTAGATCCCTTTAATGAATATGTCAACAGCTCTAATCCTGGTGCTATTTTTAAATGGCTCATAGTATGGTTATATAGTCATTAGTTGTTAAAAGGAAAGTTAATGAAAGAGTGGAAATTTCTGATTTTGAAAAGTCACAAAGTAACTAATTATCTATTTCCTCCTTTACTTCAAAGGCTGAAATGGTTTCTTATTATTGAATAGGGTAGGGAGAGCAGTGAGCCTAATTGGTGATTAGATGGGTTTATTTTATTTCATCATTGCTTTCAAGTGTAACTTTGGTCAACTATATGAACTATCAAGCTTATCTTTTGTAAAAGTATTATCTATATGAGAGTATTTCATATTCCCACAGTAATTTGATCACAATGATACTTGGTTTTTAAGCAATTTTGACACTAAATGATGGATTCTAAGTGTTTCAGAATTATAAGTGTGTTAAAAGCTAGAATTGTCCAGAACCTGAAGACATACATAGCATTTAACAAACTGTGGGTATTTTAAATGATTAAAACACTGTCTTCTGAGTATTTAAATTTAAAAAGATTATATCTTACATGATACTAACATATCAAAACCTAACAGTTATAAGTGGATGTTCTCAAAAAAAATAAATAAATGGATGTTCTCCCATGACTTTTTAAAACACCTCCCCAAGGAAGCTGAGTGCCAGTGACCTCCCAAATTCTCCCTTGATTAAATATAGGTTTCATTTTATGCATTAAAGTGGCAAAGGATTAGAAAGATAGTGGCAGGCTAGTGACCTTGACAGCAAAGCAGTCCAGATCATTGTGAATTACACCTCATATGATTTATGTTGTACCTTTCTAACACTGTCATCGTCCAAAACTAAACATCTGACATTCATGTTTAAAAATCTATGGGAAATGGTAGGTAAGGATATTTGCTAATTGTGTTTCATGCCTACAGTATTCTTAGCACTTTCATATTAATTTCATCACTTGGTTTATACAACAACTCAATGAAATAGATGCTATGAGTAAGTCCATTTTACAAATGAGGAGACTGAGACACAGAGCGTGTCACAGACACAACCATTTAGCTGTTTTAGAACCAGGATTCCAACCTAGTCAGCCTGCCCAGCCAGCACCTCCTCCTAATGATTAGACTAAACTCCCTTCCATGCATATTTTTTATAAGAACAATGAACTAGGAAGCTTGGTCCTGCTTTCTTTCCTTCTTATTTTCTCTTTAGAGAGTGGGGGAGGAAGGTGTTTTGTTTTGTTTTGTTTTGTTCTAAAGGAGAAGCTGAAAGTGAGCCCTCTTTCTTTTTGAACATCTTTTTCCAAAGTCAGTTCCCTTCATCTGGGGCCAGGAAGGACACTGATTCAGGAGACAGAGCACTAATGAGCTTTCCTCTTTGTCTCCTTCCCTGTCTCTCCACTCTGCAGCTAATAGCCAAGATACCAACCATCACAGCAGTTTGCAACTTGCACGGGGAGAAGCTGCAGGTATTTAAGCAATCGCATCCAGACATAGTGAATACACTCTTTCCTCCGTTGTACAAGGAGCTCTTTAATCCTGACTGTGCCACCGTCTGCAAGTGAAGGCGACAAGCGAACTGTCTCATAGTCGTGGAATGCATCACCATTAAGACAAAAGCAATGTGTTCATGAAGACTTAAGAAAAATGTCACTACTGCAACATTAGGAATGTCCTGCACTTAATAGAATTATTTTTCACCGCTACAGTTTGAAGAATGTAAATATGCACCTGAGTGGGGCTCTTTTATTTGTTTGTTTGTTTTTGAAATGACCATAAATATACAAATATAGGACACTGGGTGTTATCTTTTTTTAATTTTATTCAGGTATGTTTGGGGAAACAACTGTTTATAGAATTTTATTGTAGATATATACAAGAACAGAGCAGTACTTTACATGATTACTTTTCCTGTTGATTGTTCAAATATAATTTAAGAAAACTCCACTTAATAGGCTTACTGATTTCTATGTTTTTAGATAGGCGATGCATGTGTAAATTTGTAGCTGTCTTGGAAAGCACTGTGCAGGTATGTGATAAGTATATAATATCTGAGAATATTATATATGACTATTACTTATACACACACATGCACTGTGGCTTAAAATATCATACCTACTAGCAAAGGAGTTTCAGTCAGGCGCTCTTATGTTATTTACCTTCTGTGTTATATGTTACCTTTATGTTAGACAATCAGGATTTTGTTTCTCCAGCCAGAGTTTTCATCTGCAGTTAATAGCAGAATGGTACCAATTCAGAAATAAGTCGACAAAGGAATAAATATAACGCATGACCTCTGTAGAAAAACTCTGTTTCAATCAATGACATCAAAGCCTTGTCAAGATGGTACATATTGGGAAAAAAAATAATAATAACTATTTGGAGCCATTTTCCTGTTTTAAGAATTAGGCCACAGAAAACATTGTGGAGTCCAGGGCCTTTTTGACCAAACGACAGATATATCCTATTTTTCATCAGGACACAAAAACCACCTTTTTTTCTTTGAATTTCAAGTTGTGAGAGAAACTTGATTTTGGTGCTTATTGTATCTTCAACAGAGAAATACAGCCGGTAGATTATGACCACCAGCAATTTTTTCTAAAAAAATTAGAGTAAAAGAGTAAATCAGAACCCAGGGTCCTAATACCATTTCATGTAAACATTTTATCTCTTTTGCAAAGAAGTAGAAAGAGAACATACAAAGCAAAGTAGTAGTTCTTTATGTTCATTCTCTTTAATAAGTTTGTTAGAAAAAAAGCAGCAATAAATAAAGGGGGAGGCAGGACTTTCTATGTTCTTCTAGTCTGGGACCTCTAATTTTTTCAACTCAAAAATGCTATATTATAAAAATATAGCAAAACATTGATAGATTAGAATAAAAGATCTGTGTTATTCTACAGAACGAATGCACCCCAAAGCCAAAACCATTTCTGGTGCCGTTTGAAATTGCATCATCCATCTACCCTGGGGTTATTCTTTTAGCAACTTTTAAAAGTACAGAATGCCAGAGGTGAGATCAGGATTAGACAACTTGGATTTCCTAATACAAGATCTCACTTCCCCACTTGCCCTCCAATCAAAGTGATCACCAGAAAAACATAAATCCCAAGGAGTTTGTTCTGCCTGTGTTCTGGAGGCCTTATGACTTTAGTCTCATTTGACCCCAAATGAGAGTTTTTAAAAGGGATCTAGAGAGGAGGTTTGTGTATAAGACAGGGAAAATTATGATCTGTAAGTGTAGCCTGGCCATCAACTCATGAAGACCTGCCCTTATCTCCTTGTCTAACACACACACACACACACACACACACACACAAAATACACACCTGCTTTGTGAAGTTTCCATCAATGGAAACTTATTTTTTTTAATCTCTAACGCTCTCCTGAAGTTGGATGGTTGACAGCCATCTCCAAGATGCCACAGCACTGCTCAATGATGATCAAACAGTAGTGTTCATCTTGTCTTTTAGAAAACAGAGCCTTTTCCCACCTCATGATTGATGAATTCCAAACCAATGGAGAAAAAAGGCTTTAAAATAATGAATCCCTTTTTCAACTACTGTTATATTCAATTAATTTAACTACACTGAACCCAATTACCTTCAGCGTCTAAGAAGACAGCTGTAGACTGCTTACTATGCTGCTACAGGGACTCAATTCTTTTCGGTGTAAATGTCACTCCTGTTAGCTCTTTGTATAAAGAATTAATTCCAAGAGTCATATTTCCTTCTAATGGAAAGATTACTTTACTGATTGCTAGGAAAACAGGGTAATGGAAGGCACTCAATTAAACCAAGCTGTTTCCAAATGCAATGTATGTTTTATGATTGGCTTGTGATAGGCAATGCTTAATGTGTCTGCTTGGCGTTTCCCTTTGAGCTTTGAACTTATGTCAAACTTTGCTTTCATTGTTCAGTTGGACTAGTGTTTCCTATTGTCAGCCTGTAATTCCTGCTCAGTTGCAAAGGGAACCATTTGTTTCCTCCAATTTACCTTAGAGGATTTAAATTGACTCAATTGATGAAGTGGCTGAGAATTTTCCCTCCCTTGTCCCATGGGTGATGTAGGAAAAAGATTGTTCCCCACATCTGCCTCAGGAGGTCCTGGATTTGAATTTGTGTTGTTTCCACTGGTGCAATCATGTCATTGGGACGGCATGAACCTTTTGAAGCTAGGGGACAGGAAACAGCTAACAACTGAACCAGAGCAAAACAGTGGAAACCAGTAGCACTCAGCCGCTTGCAGTTGAGGAAAGAGATTTCCAATTTTTGCCACAGTTGCCAGATCTGTCCCTTGAAAGACAGCCAAGTCATGTGTTCAGTGGTAACAAAGTACCTTTAAAAGCTGCCCTTTGAATGTCTCCTGTGACTACCTCTGGAGGTATTTTGAAATTTTGGTTAACAACTTTCTTGACCACATGCAACCTTTGTCCCTTCCCCATGAAGACTCACGAGTGTTTGCAACACATTCATGATAAGGTGTGCACTGGAAGAAAGGACCCAGGATCTGTGCTTTTCACTTCCTGCTTCGTAAATGACAATCACTGCTTGATGCAGATGTTGCACTGTTTCCACTCAGGGATGTTTTGTTTTGTTTTGTTTTTAAAAAACAAGGTGCACCAAGAAGGAGGGGAAAAACAGGAAAATGACAACAAAATGTAAATGGCGCAAATTAAACATGCCAATGAGAGAACCACTCTGACAAGGCTTTCAGACCAATGAGGGGTAACTTCATGATGTAAGCTGAATTTACTTCTGTGTTTGGACTTGCTGAAAAATTGCTCATGAGTAAGAACAACTTAGCTTCATTTTCTAAAATCTCCTAAGAGCCAAATGATCCAGTTGCCCCATTTATAGGAATATGTATCTCCCAGAGAACCCAAGCTTCCTATACAAGTCCTATACAAGTCAGTGGCATTCACCACCTGACAAAGGAGGAGACCTGTGGTCTGTGAAAAGAAAGGCAAGTTTTTGAGGGAACATAAGAGAATAAGGAATTCCACATCTGGCCTGACATCTCATCTCTATCCCAACTGTCTGTGACTCTGGTCCTCTTTGTATTCCTTTTTCTGCAGTTCTTTTACCCCCCAAAGATTGAAAACTGAGGGTGGAGATGTATTTGACAAACATACCCTTTCTGGATTTCCCTTGTTTTAAAAGTGTCTTCAGGACTTTGGACCACTCAGTAGGTAAAAACAGACAATACAGGGGTCTCTTAGGTAATCAGATTTCTTTGATAGAATCTAAAGGACTCTGGATGTTAACAGTAGGTGCCAGTAGGCATTAGTTCATGTCCTATCACAGTTCCCTGCTCAACACACAACTTCCCAGCAGTCAAGCTAAACTGCTTGTAGAAAACTTCGCACATGGATAGTCAATTCACGCTCACTCTCTATAGTCCCATGTGTACCAGACTTGACTGCAAAAGCAATTCTTATGTCCCAAGGACACAACAGCTTTTTTCAAAGTCATCAATCAGATGCAAATTATGTCAGTTTCATTCTATTTTTGTTTCCATTTATCATAGAAGCAAGGAAAAATTCTACTGCTATTGGAAATTAGAAGAAATAACATTTTCCTGATTCCTTTCTCTCTCGAAGCTACTACAATTGGCAGTTAAGTTCAGACAAGGGCATCTGTGCCCTGACAGAACCACCGTTCAAGAGAACAGCAATAACTTGAAAGTGTGCATCTGTAGTGACACTTTGCACAGAGTCCCCTCTAACGAGAGCGGAAGTCCCACCATCTGCTTTAGATGAAGTGGTATTTGATTTTCTGTTCCCAACTGCTAATCCAAACAGCAATCTGATATGGGCAGCCACGTGTGTCTTTAGACAAGAGCTGGCATCCTTTTGGAGTTGGTGGTAGGGGAGTATCTCAGGACCAGAGAAACATGTTTGTTTAAAGCTAAGGTTAAAAATTCAACAGTCTAAGAGGGCCAGGGAGTTGATGCAAATGAGTGAAGCAGTCTGGTGGGAAGCTAGCAAGGAAATGCCCCAATGAAAAGGGGCATCCAAGAGTCAGCTAAAGCTGAAGTACTGCTAAAGTTTCTAAATCTTATGCAATCTCTTGAGTCGTAAATGTCAGTTGATTCAAGGCTTAGTACAGACCAAACAAACATGTCTCAGGGCAGAAGGCAGTCACAAGCCCTGAAAATCCAATCTCGGGGCCTATCTGACTGGAGCAAGTCCAACCAGATACACCTCTGGGTGACATTAGAGTCGGGTTCACGGGCAAGAGGTCTTGCTCTTCTGACACTTAATTTGGTTTCCATATTTGACTAGAGGATATAGTAAGAGGTCGGCTTTAAAAATGGCAAACAATCTGAAAATGAAAATAATTTCATGATGGCTTATAAAAGACACTCTGTTTTGCCCCAACTTTCAGCTTCATAGAGTCAGGTGATTGGATTTCTTGCCACTTTCTTGTTCTGGAAGTCCAATGCACAATTTTTATGCTTTTGAGTCTTGGTGTGCGTCTTTAAATGTGCGGTTTCATAATCTGCAAGTTCTTATTTTTCCCTTGGTTGTGTCTAAAGAATGTATTCCACAGTCACGGTAACGTAGTCCTCCATTGTTCTGAAGTGAGGGACCATGGATTTCTTTGCAGCCGATAGGGGTTGTCTATTTGTGCACTTTTTTCCTTAGCTGTTGAAATTCCTCCGAAGAGAACTGGCCATAGTAATCTTTCTTTGCCTCCTGCGTGACTGTAAGCACGACCTCCAGTGGAGCAGACAGAGCAGCTGAGTGATGGTTCTTACGGCCAAAAATAAAGCACAAGGTGACTGAGATTGAATAGACCCGGCTGGGGGAAGCGCAGGGGTTGTGCACCCCCGCTGGGCAGCGTGATCCTCTTGTTAAACCACACTCTTCAGGCAGTGGCTGATGGAGGGCAGATGCCTGCCTGGGTCATGACCGAACACAGACACACACTAGTGTCAGAGAAGCTCCGGACCACACCCCCAAGACGGTACCGTCTGCTTCATCTGATTCACACACACACACACACACACACACAGGAATGAAAACTACACCTATAGAAAATTGAGTATGTATTGTAGAAATGTAGAGGAAAATAAAAATATTTTTTCAGATGTAATTACTTTTAATATATGCTTGTGGAAGGTCTAATATGATGTATGCTGTCTCTGTAATTTTTGCTGTAAATAACTGGAGACGGTGAATACACTGATTTTTATATGTCTCTGTTTAAGCATAAGACTTTGTAATGATTTTTTTAGAGGGGGAAAAACCAACAAAGAGCGAATATGTACTTGCTTCCTTTCTGCGTGTTACGTACTCCTCAGAAACTGGTTGTAATGGTTTGAGCATCTTGATGGGTCATTGGTGTTAAGTGTACGCTTCCTTTTGTAAGACAGCTGAGAAAGGGACAGGGCTGTCAATGAAATCTGCTCCAAAGAATCTGTATTGAAGATTTCCCTAAGACCTGTAAACTCTATCTGAACCAGACAACATGGAAAAGGAAAGTTTTTTAAAAAAGAAAAAAAAAATGTTGCCTGAGTAAGTCCTCTTTCCTCATAGCAAATGGCTTAGTCCATATCCTTTCTGCACGGAATAGCTTAAGGAAAACAAACTCTGCTTTCTGATGAACAAAATATTTTTGTACACATTTATTTCGTATTAATAACCTAAGGTCAGATCACTCATTTGCTGAAGCCATAACTGACCTTTACCAAATAAATGTTGTCAAGAACCTGGGGGAGGGTGGGGGGAAATTGCGAGGGCAGAAAGTTGAAGGTGTCATGAGCTGTAACAAGACAGGCAGGAGCAAGTCTGATGCGTCTGATGCTTTTCCTGCATCCCAAACACAACTTTAAAAGGCTAATATTTTATGATGATCGATTTATAATAAAAAAAAAAGATATTTAGATTTAAATGAGACTTTCCAATATTTTTGAAATCCCTGACAATAATTCCTTGCTTTTAGGATTGAGAGAAATAATTTTCACGTACTTCCAACATTCAGAGATTTAATGTTTTTACCTGAGCTCCAGCCCACACGTGTCAGGTAGAGAGCAGAGCTCCGAGTCCTCCAACGTTGAAACCATGTGGTTTGGGGCTTGGCTGTACCTACCAACCACCACTGCACCTGGAATGTGCAGCTTGCATCTCTTACTAGCACGCGTGTCATTGCTAGCAACGCATACAACCTGCATTGCCAGACTATGTAAAATAAAAGTATTCACTCTAAAAAGCATAATAATTATTCTTTTTTTAAAGAAATAATGCCTCCTAGAGACTTTGATTTTTCTGGAGCTTAACTTACATTATTACATGCATTATTATTGGCTGATAGGGGCAAAAGGCAAACTACAAATAAACCCAGTGACATATGTAGTTTTAAAATCTACAGTTTTCTGATCTCTCTCTCCTTGTTTAATACGTAAGCCCTAATTTCTGTGTATGTGAGTAAAACTGCAGCCTGAGTCATTTAGGAAGTAAGCATTGAGTTTTTTATTATAAATATACTAGAATAAAACAGCACTCCCTAACAATTAAAAAAAAGAGTTTTATATTACTTTAGAATGTAATAGGTTTTTGTCCTTATTTTATGTCCTGTAAATTATTAGTTGAATACTATTAGCATTCCCTGGATAATGCACACATGATTTCTGAATGTTTTCTGTAAATGACAATCAATGTTTATGAAGTTCCCTCCTTTAATGCTGAACAAAATTAAAAGAAGAAAAAGGAAAAAAGTCTGGCCTCATTATTTTCTTTTTCTCACACAGGAAACAAGGAGGCTATAAAGTAGATAGATAGATTTGGCTTTGAAAATATTATTCCATGGGTTCCAACTTACAAAATTGCCCTTTTTTTCCAGTAAATACTGGGTGATTTTTTTTTCTGGAAAGTCTTGTGTCCTCATGGACCTAGTCTGAGTTAGAAATGCTGATTGAGAAAAGACCCAGGCTTCATTCTAGCCAAATAGCTTACCAAGTTGCAGTTAAAATGAGAACACCTCTCTAAGATACTAACTAAAATAACGCTAATAGCCCTACTTTTCTAGAACTTTCATAAAACGAAGCCCTACCTAGCTGAGTCATGAGCCACTCCTTTGCTGCTGAAATGTTATAGCACATTTGAAATAGATGGAAGTTTTCAGATAATAATTAATAGTTAAGCCTCTCATCTGATTTTTTTTTTAAGCAAAGCATCACCAAAATCAATGCTCACCAACATAGGAATGCTCTGATTCTTATTTGAAGCTGTAGTAAGAAGTGATTGAGGCTAATCCCAGACTCACAGTTATGTTTTTTAAAAAGCAGTTCTAAGAGATGACAGCGATTTTTT